ACAGTCATGCTGAACTCCTAATAATAATTCAAGTACTTTCCATTGCTGATTACTGATTTTAATACATCAGATTTACTTTTATTTTGATGGTTTTCTTTGTGTCTTGGCAAACATCAATGTGTTATGACTAACTGTACAAAACATAGCTACGAAAGAAATGCAACATGCTCTGGCTTTCCTATTTTTCTAAGACTGAAGAGTCATGTCTTATTTGCATCTCAGTTGGAGAACACCTGGTTCACCATCATCCACAGACAGGGCCTGGGAAGCCCTTCTGAACAACTTGGCAACACAGCACAAAATGCGTCAGGACACCAGTTTTCAGATATCAATTTCACAGTGTGTAGATACAAATGGAACAAAAAAGCTAGCAGAGTTTTAAGCCCACTTAATAATAGTTTCCCAGATTCAGATGGGAAAACAATCAATGTCAACATTTTTTAAAGTTCTACAGCAAATGCAAAAATACAGGTATTAGAGGAAGTGCAATGCAAGTCTCCTTTAGTGCTTTTTCTTTAACTTTCTATGAAGGGCACAGGTTTGGGTGATCACCGGCTCTGCCTCTCTCACCTTTTCAGGCTGTGTTTTACAGCTGCATTTTAAGGCAGCATTTTACAGCAGCATAGCTTTACCCACGTCAGGAGTTATAACCCATGTAGAGAGCCAGAGAAACAACAAGAACCTGAACAGACTGACCCCGTACTTACCAATAATCACTGCAGGGCCTGTGTCACTTTGGGTTACTGCCAGGCACTTAAGGAGACAGAAGCAGAGCCAGGACTTCCATGAAACACTTGCTGTGCATATTTTCTGAGCAAGTTCTAACAGTTTCAGTTTTCTAAAATATACACTTTCATTTTTCCTTAGCAATAAGCAACAAACCATTGCTTTTGTCTGCACCCTTTGAAGGTACAGTGGTTGACCCTGGCTGGAGGTCAGGTGCCCACCACAGCTGCTCTATCACTCCCCCTTCTCAGCTGGACCAGGGAGAGAAAATGTGACAGAAAGCTCACGGGTGAAGATAAGGACTGGGAGATCACTCAGCAATTACCATCATGGATAAACAGACTTGACGTGGGGAAATTTAGTTTATTACCAATCAAATCAGAGAAGGGTAAGTCTTATAGACACCATCCCCCCACCCCTCCCTTTTTCCCCTAGTTCAACTTTACTGCCAATTTCTCCACCTCCTCCCCTGCAGTAGCACAGGATGACAGGAATGGGGGTTGCAGTCAGTCTCTGCTGCTCCTTCCTCCTCAGGTGGAGGACTCCTCACACTCTTCCTGTGTGCCAGCATGGGGGCCCTCCCATGGGAGACAGTTCACAGACTCTCTGCTGTGAGTCCTTCCCACAGGCTGCAGTTCTTCATTAAATGCTCCAGGATGGGTCCCTTCTGCAGGGTACAGTCCTTCAGGAGAAGACTGCTCCAGCAAGGTTCCCCCATGGGATCACAAGTCCTGTCAGCAAACCTGCTGCAGTGCAGGGCTTTCCACAGGGTCACAGCCTCCTCTGGCCTCCACCCATTCTGGTGTGTGGTCCTCCAAGGGCTGCAGGTAGACATCTGCTCCACTGTTGGCCTCCACAGGCTGCAGGGGGACGGCCTGTCTCACCATGGCTTTCCCCAGGGGCTGCAGGGGAATTGCTGTTCTGGCACCTGGAGCACCTCCTCCCCCTCCTTCCTCACTGACCTTGGTGTCCGCAGAGTTGTTTCTCTCACATATTCTCACTCCTCTCTCCAGCTGCAATTGCACAGGGTTTTTTTCCTGCTTCTTAGATATGTTATCACACCATCACTGATGGGTTTGGCCTTTGTCACCAGCAAGTCTCTCTTGGAGCCAGCTGGCTCTGTTGGACACAGGGGAAGCTTCTAGCAGCTTCTCACACAAGCCACCCCTCTAGCCTCCTGCTACCAAAACTTTTCTGTGGAAATCTAATACAGAAGCAAAGTCTCCACAGAGAGCTCATTTACCAGCAGCTACTACGCAGTGGTATCCAAAATACTATGAAATATTTTGTGATTCTACTTGTAGGGACCTGCATGGTATCTTAGATATTCCTGCACTACAGCTTCACATGAAATAGACACATTTGATGAAAACACTATTTGGCATCTGTGGTCTCATTCCTTTCACCTTAATTTCTCTCAATGAAATTATCTCCCCCTGTCCTCCCATACTCCTTCCATTCTTTGGAGAGATCTAAGTGATCTTCAAGGCCATAGGCTTGGGGGAACTTTTGTACATGGAAGAGAGAGATTTATTAGAATCAGCTTGCATGTATCACATATAATACCTACCAAAAGGGTTACATGTTATTCCCATATCGGTATTTGCACACAGAAACCATTTCTGAGTCACACCCATCTTTTTAGCTGCCTGTATAAAGTAATACAAAATCAACTAATGGCTTTTTTCCCTTGTTTATTTCTTTGTCTTGAAAGAACATAAGTGCTCCTTCTGGTGTGTTCTTCCTTAGGTCTTCCTCAAAGTACAGCACAGCTCCTCACATACTAACAGAAAATTTACATTCTCTCAACCCTTTTGGAAAGCTGTTCTTGGCTACTGTAGTTTTGACCTTTCTCTCTCCTCTGCCCATTGTTTGCCTTTACTACTTAAGAGGGGACATTCAGGCTTTCCTCACTATACAGCTTCCATGCTATGCTAACCACACTCTGCTCTGGACTTTTCAGGTCTCTTAAGCTACTTGTAACAGTGTCCATTCATTGCGCTCTTGAACTCAGACATTAGGTACAAACACCAGCTAAACTTGGGACAGCTTTTTAATTCACACCATTTATGGGATTCGTACTCTGTAGGTTCAAACAGGCCAAACGTTAAGATCTTGCCCCCGCCATCCCAGCTGGCTGCCAATACAGCAGCTGCGGTTTGCAGAGCCTGTGATGTGCCGTGCACGTCCCTGTTGCAGAACAAAGGAGAAACCACACCAGATACCAGTGCCCACTTGCGGTGCTGCTGTAGCTGACCTTACTCCTCTCCTCACTAATATTCATGCTGCATCATGTGGCAAAGCCCTGTACAAAACCAGCAAAAATGTAACTGAGCCACCTCAAGAAATTTCAGCCGTGATTTCATAGGCCTTGTGTCAGCTCAAAGCTGCAAGGTAGTTTTCCAAAGAGAGAATTAATAACAAGACTACTGCCATAAACATATTAAGTAACTTTAATGCTACTTGGTATAAGTCTTTGTTACATACTTTCATCCACATACTCCAGTGTATTTTATACAATACGAAGCATTTTTAAAAGTACATGCCTCTAGATAAAATAGTCACAAAACAAGTTTCAATGCAAGTAGAGAATTAGAAAACCAAAACAAAAAAAATCAGTCAGAGTACAAAATCTTTGGAAGGCAAAAATTTCAGAAAACAAGATATATGAAAACATCCCACTGTAGTAATTCAGGTCGACTGAGTGGCTCCCATAGTCAGCAGCAGGGCTGCCACTCACTGCAATGTCATCCACAAAACCCGCCCTGGATCAGCGGCGACTACACAGCACTACAGAGGGTGGCTGGGTCTCAGAAAATCTTGTACCTGGCAAGTTTGATAAAGTAACCTTCACAGCAGACACCCTTGTTGGCTCAAGGAGAACGAGTAGGCCTGGGAATGAAGAAAGTCCTGTCTTGCCTTATCCAACCACTGTGTGTGTCTGCAGAATGTTAAGGTGCACTGGCAAGACATGGTGAGTGAGTTCTTTTATGAATGACAGGGAGCCTTTTTCTCCCAGGTTATCAATTTGGCACTATTCACAAGAGTAGAAATTATTTACTAGCATTATTAAAATAAAGTTTCGCCATCTGCAAAGCACTCGTCATGAGTGTTAGCGAGCGAAGCACAACGTTATTGTTTAGTTTTGTTAAATTAATTTTCTATATATAATACCGTATGCCATTATAGAACAGCGATATTCAAGAGAGGCTCAATTAAACATCGTTCGTGCCAAAACCAAACTCCATAGTGGGCGGACTGCTTTGCATTCCACTGCTTTCAGTACGATGTTGCACCAGCATCTGTCCAAATGAAAACACCTTTACAACACTGAAGCTTTAGAACGCAACAAATAACACACTGCAAGAATCGAGGTGAGCCATTGGGTAGCATTCCATTTAAATGAAATTGAGTCATATAATAAGTAACAAATGCAGCACTTGAAGTAACAAAACCAAAGCTATACTTCCACAAAATAAAACAGTGCAAATATTCCTCTTAAACAAAAATATACCATGTATATACACATACAACACAAATGCACTGTTTTCCAGTATAAATAGATCCAATTAATCTAAATGCCTAAAACTAATGAACCACTAACTGACAGTCCTAGTTTCCACCTACTAAGGAATACAGCGAGCCTTAAGGATCAGATGATCACGGCCAGATATGGCTCCAAAAGACTACCAAAAGATTTCACTGGATGGGTATTTAAAATATTTTCTCTGTACGTCAAAATTAATAATATATATACTATGCTGGTATCACCAGATCAGCTTGGGCCCTGATCATGCAAGGAGCAGTACACAGAAAACTGATGACTCTACAAGGAGCCTCAAGGCTCTACTTGTGCACAATGCACAGGAACACTGCGAAGCACGCATGGCCCAACCCCAGGACTTAACAAGGGGGAAGCTCTTTAGCTGCCTGCACAGTGAACACGTTAGTTTAGTTCCCATTTTCTTCCCCTTCTTATTTAGCACTCGAATTCTGTTATATGCTAACAACACAATTGTTTATCCCTGAACTCCATAATACCATACAATGAGTATGCTTCTAATAAGACACAATAAAAGTAAAAATTAGAAGGGAAGAGGTGGAAACTTGTTCTCTGTTGAGGAAATCCTGATTAGGCGTTATTTGCATTTCAGCACTTTGAAATAGATTTTAAGCAAAACCAGTCTTTTTGGAACTAGATTACAGTAAAACGGACAAGTAGCACTTAATTTGATCTGAAGTTGAACACTCAGGCTTCAACTTTTCTTCAACTGCTATAGCCTCCATCTCCTTAATGCCAGGGCTGTGCTGCAACCGTAACAAACAGCTGTTGCAAAGGCAAAGATCTAGAGGAGGAACAAAGAGAGAAAACAAAAAGAGAAAAAGAAAAAAAGAAAATCACACATTATATTGTTCTACTTTTTTTCTCCTATTCTAAATGAATACAGGAAAACAAACGATTCAAAAGTGTCCTCCCCCAGACAAAACCTTAAAAGACAAAGATACATTTGGGATTGTCTCAAGTTTTCTCATGAGCCTCTTTATTGTGACCCCATGTTACTGCTTTTCACTTACTTGCCTGCTTCAGAAGACATTTTAAAATAGAATATGAAACACAATGTCTGAATTAGTTATGGTATAAAGTAATCGTGTGTAATGCACACCATGTATTTCAGTCTTCTCTTATCTCACCTGGTCAAACATTAATCTGTGATTTGTTTCCAGGTGCTTTTACCAGCAAACAAGGAAGTCATCCCTCTAAACAGGAGAGATCTTTTACTTGCAGAAGTACAGAAATAGCTTCAAATCTGTCCTCTCTGACCAGACAACCAACCATGAGAACAACTTCCTGAGAAATGCCAGGAAATTGCTATTGCTCAAAAATTGAATTGAATGGATTTGAACTGAGAGCCACGCCACATCAAACTTGGAATATATAATGTAAATCAGAAGGAAGAAATTACGAACTGAATTGCCTAAAAAAGTAGTTTCCCATATTGCCCAGTACTAACAACTGATTCTGTGTCTTAGCACACGTGAATCCAATCATGGCATAGCAACCTATGCCTTGCTTTCCTTACTTACAGGTTTTAATTTAGTTAATTAAAGTCTGAATAAATGCTACACTGCAGAACTACCACCCCTATGAAATGTACACAGATATTTTTAACCATAAGTAATTCTGAAAGACAAAATGTTAGCATCCTTCTTTTTTCTTATCCTGTAGATCACAGTACTGCTTTAGCTGTTTTCAAAGGATTAAAATTTTCTTCTGTATGTCCTGACTTTCTACCTATATACTTTTTGAAAAAACACAAACCACTAAAGACTACATTTACATGATTCACCATTTCACAGCATCTTTTAATTACAAATACTGAGGCAAGTTACAAACTGGAACAGGCTGCCCAAGGAGGTTGTGAATGCCCCATCCCTGGCAGTGTTCAAGGCCAGCCTGGATGGGGCTTTGAGCAACCTGGTCTAGTGGGAGATGTCCCTGCCCCTGCAGGGGAGTTGGAAGTAGACGATTTTCAAGTTCCCTTCTAACCTTAACCATTCTGCAATCCTATGAAAAGTCTCCTCCTCCTCCTCCATCTTGACAGGGATTTGAGGGGTTTGAAGAACTGAATTCTTCCTTGGAAAAAATAGCGTGGAAGAGAGAAAGAGTCTCTTGGACTCCCCTGCACACTGTCGTCAGACAAAATGACTGAAGTGACCCTGAACGAGGACTGAAGAGCTACATGCAAGTGTAGAATCTGAGATAACATGTTTAGTATAAAGCCCTCCCTTGGTTCAGGCACAGCTATGAGACACCACCTCTGTCCTTGGGCCATATGGCCAAACGGGGATCAGATATGTTCAGGTGTGTTACTGGCAGGTGGGCAATGCTGAGACTCACTGGACTTAGAGACTGACACACCCACCTCATCCCATCAGAGACTGTCTTGCCAAAGCAACAGACCTTCCCTTTTTTAACTCCTCTGGCAGAGAGAACATGAACCTTACACCATACATTCATCTCTTTTGACCTTAAGATGAACTGAACTGTGCAATATTCATGGTATATTAAGTTTTAAGGACAAGAGACACCCATATAGTGTTTTAGAAGCTTAATAACTATAAATACAGCTCCCTGATGTATGCAAGACCCCCTGGATGGTACCAAAAAAAAAAAGTTAAATAAGAGCAGTAGTTTCGGTTCTTCAAGTTAAGCTTACTGGCACACCTCTACTTGCCCTTCAAGAGTCCAGCCAAGGAGAAAGCTAGAGCCTGGCGAATTTTCTGACTCAGCTGTGCACACCCACATCACCAGATACAGTGATTCAGTGATGATGCAACTACAGTGAGAAAAATGGAGGCTGAGCTTAGGCTATCAATAAAAGCACTTTAATCCTTGCCTTAAGGGTCAGCAGGGTCCTTAAAGATAACTTTCAGGACTGATGTAGTAAGTACATATTCAGAGCTCCACAAGGAGATAGTTCAAGGTTTTTTCCTTAGGTCATGTTCAAGGCTATTTAAACGGTATAAAGAAAGAAACTGAAAGTTTGAATACAGACATGAAATTCACATCTGATGCTTTGATGAAGGCTCAGTCATTATCCTTGTTTTCTGGTTTAATAACCAACAGAGTTTTTACAAAATATCTCATATAAAAATTCCAAGCTGCAGCGATCATATATTTAAATCACTGTAGCGAGGAGTAGCAAGAGTACCTAACACGTTAGCTTTAGCTTATTCCAATGTTTTCGGTATGCCACTGTTAGACGCTATTTGCTGCTCTCAAAGACAATCCCTTCTCTCACGGCTTCTCTTTCCATTACAGCCTGCTGTTAAGTTCCCAAGTTGAATGGTTGACTTCTAGGGCTTATAACAGACTTCAGTCTCCCAGATACAAATATATGACATACATACCGAGGCTGCTATGCTTATGTTGTATTCATGATCAGCTAGAATCTTCTGCGTGGTGGAATTGAATTCACGGGGAAAGTGATGCAGAGATGTAGTCGCTGCTTGCAGTAGAAAAGCTCCAAAATAAAAGACAAAAGTAGCACCATGGAAAAGAAAATCCTGAAAAGCAAATAACAAAATCAGTCTGGGCTGCAACACATGTCTAAACCTTTTAGTCTCAGTACAAATGAAACCCAACACTGAAACATGAAACAAGCACAGATAACAACAACTTTAGATAAGCAGTGTTAGGTTCATTTGAGAGCTTAACCTGGGCATGTTTTCACAGCTGTTTGCAGTCATAAGCAACTCACTAACGTAATTAGTAATAAAGGTCAATTATCCTCTCAAATCCTACATTCTTTCAAATTAAGAAGCACATGCTCAACTATATGTATATATGCTGACTTTTTAGATCTCTTTAAAGGTATTAGAGCTTACAGAACTCTCCCTTCCCACAGCTTAAATAAAAAAAGAAAGGACACACAGGCCAACATTATCACAATTTAAGCAGTGCAATACAAGCTTGCAGTCCACCAAATCCCTTCCCAGCTGTAATTTAAACTCCAGAAGTCTGCCTTCCATGCTTAATTTTGCTTCTGTAAATGCCCAGAAACACCTCAGCCTTGACACAGCTGAAGTTTACTTCCTGATACAATCAGAATCCAGGAACTGATGCATTTCTTTGAATCTCTTTGACTTGGCTCTATCCAAAGTAATATGGAAGTACTCAACGATACTGTGAAATAGAATGCTTGAGACCTGAGAGGACAGGAGTTAGGATTTACTTTAAATATGCTTCTCTCCCAGCCTCCTCGAGGCAGTTGTCACCTCTGTGGTAAATGCTAGCTGAACACCAGGTTTAAATATGTAACTCTCATTTCTGGATTGTATTATTGGCACACATGAAAAAGCAGCTCTGGTGCTTAAATCTCTTTGCACATTGTGTTTGAGAGTCCAGTGTTCCACACAGCAAGATCCAAGACATGTTCCAGTATAGTTTGAAAATATCTAAAATATTCTTCCAACATCTCCTTTTGTTGTTGAGTCTGTAAAGCTGAAATTTGCTCTGCACTTAGTTTCCGAGTCCATACAACATAACATATTTGCGGATCTATGCAGGGCTGCAAAAGCCATAGGCACAATTTTTAAAATGATACACAAGCATATTTATGTCTTTTGACAAGGATGATTAAGGAACTTGAACATCTCTCCTATGAAGAGAGACTGAGAGAACTGGGGCTGTTTAGCTTCGAAAGGAGATGGCTGAGAGAGAACTTTATTAATGTATACAAATATCTGAGCAGTGGATGTCAAGGGGAAGGAGACAATCTCTTCTCAGCGGTGTCCAGTAATAGAACAAGGAATAATGGGGTTAAGTTAGAACATAGAAAGTTCCACCTCAACATGAGGAAAAATTTCTTTACTGTGAGGGTTACAGAGCCCTGGCACAGGCTGCCCAGGGAGGTTGTGGAGTCTCCTTCTCTGGAGACATTGAAGACCCACCTGGACGCGTTCCTGTGTGGCTGCGCTAGGGGACCCTGCTCTGGCAGGGGTGTTAGACTAGATGATCTTTTGAGGTCCCTTCCAATCCCTGACATTCTATGATTCTACGATATCCACCTTATATAGTCTACTTCCAGCACTAATGAAGTCTTTATGCACTTTCAATACACTTGAGTGCAAGAGACTACCAGTATGCCAAGAGGACACCACGTGTGAGTCCACCACAACAGCAGCCAGCCATTTGTACGCACTAGAAATCCCTGTGCAGCATCCTTACCTACTGACTGCCTGATATCAAAGCGAGAACATACCGCATTTCCCTGTTCAGAGAATTGTTTCTTAGGAGGTGTGAGATTTTCTTTTTATTGAAAGAATTTTCTTTTCAAATTCATCAGTTACTGCATATTTGATAGCACCTAAAACTACTTAAATCATGCCCTAGCCAGTTTTGGTAAGCTACAATACAGGCTGCTACTACAGCTTCCCATTCAGATCAGGAAATAATTTTCTCCTAATTAAGAATCATTTGATCATTTTAGGTTAGGTCATAGCGTGTACTGCTTTTCTTAATGACTGCTAATTACTGGGAATCTTTTGACAAAATAGCTGCAGTAATTCCCAACTTCTGGCTTCACATTGGGTTTGTTTTGTTTATTTTTTTCCTCATTTATTAAAAACAATTACTTCCTCCTGGAGTATCACCAGGAGGCCCCACTGACATCAACAGAACTGAGAAGGGGGCAGAGCGTGGTTTCCTGACCTAGCAGAATAGCCTTTATGTTCTAGGCTTGACGATCTCAAGCTTTCAGTGTAAGACACATTGCCTCAGTCTCCAGCTCCACTCTAACATCATAGAAAGGTAACGGGTAACTGCACCTCACAGAAAAAAAAACCAACAAAAACCAGAACACGTGAGTGCTGAAGCATGAGAGAAGCGGCAGTGCTCTGCCGCAGTGGCGGGAGGCACTTCTCCCCACCAGACACTTCACTGCTGTGGCTTCCCCCAGCTCACTCGAGCTGGCAGACAGACACGCACATCTCTCACGCTACCACCCACACACGCCAGGCCAGGCTGCACGCAGGTGTGTGCTCACTGCGTGACAAATTTGGGACCCCATATGCTGGGCTGGCACGCCTGTTTCATGGCACAGGATTCCAGCAGCTTGAAAGGTCTGCGTAAACCCAGGGGGTATCGAGGACACCCATATTCTTGAGCTGCTAAAATACCTATGGTGCGACTGTGCCAGTGTCACGAGCCGTACGCTTTTTGGCACCACTGCGCAGGAAGGAGCACAAATAGCTCCGTAAGGAAGACAGTGCTGACTGAGTACAGGAGATGTATTTACAGATGACAGACTCCTGTCATTTGCTTCACTCTCCTGCCAAACTCTATAATTTCCTTCTCCTGGCAGCAATTACAGTGCAGCTATGTAGCAGTAAGGTTTCACATTTGCATGGTTATAGTTTCTGTGACCAAAAAACCCAAGATCTACGAGGGAAAGCTTTTTGGTTTTTAGTAATTGTTAGCACAGTGCCTAACTCTCCCTTGCCTCCACTTTCTCATCACTGAAACCTCACACAAAGCGTACGTAAAACACTGCCAGATCTGCAGGATATGTTAGTTCACATCTAATTTTGTAAATTAGTGTGTTGTGAGTCAGGCTGTAAAGGACAGTATTTGTCACACCATCTGGTTTAATACAGCGACGTACAGAGTGATGCACCTCCATAAGGTCTGTCTTTTCACTGTGAAGGATCCTAGTTTTTATGTATCTGTATTAGTATCAACAAAGCTACTTATGATGTAAGGTACTGCTGAATGCAGGGTTGTCAGAATCTCATGCTATTTTTCAAACTTACATTTAAACTCCTGGAATCTTGAATCACATTTGTTCATGAATCTCTACATGAAGTTATAGTACTCCAATATAACTAAGCCATGACTCTTTCCATTTCTGACCTAATCTAAAGGCCTGTAGTCTCTGAGTTCTACTGTAAATTTAAATTTATGAAATTGCAAACCCTACATATTTATCTAAATACATGGAAGCCTAAACAAAACAGGTACAGTAACAAGAACAGTTTTAGTGTTGCTAGTAATTATTTGTGACAGAAGGTAAAAATTCCTTGTGCTGCTATAGATATTAGGGCCAAAAATTTGCAGAACATTTAGGTCCCTGAATATAGTGGTCAAATATCCATCTAGTATTACTTTTGTTGACAGCTGGATTTCAGCTCCCATAGTAGAAAACAATTCACTCTGCACTTATTTAAAATGTTGACTTAGTTATGACAGCTTTCTAGATTAAGTTATGAAGTCCCATATATGTGGTTTCTATACAAGTCATATTAGCAGTTTCCTGACAGAAAGTTTTTCAGTAATTTATCATATACAAGGGGACAAAATTAACAGTACAACAAATCACTCCCAACGTCAAGCAGTGATGCACAAGACACGCTTGCACAATTTTTAAGATAAACATTTGTATAGAACATTCAATTTATAAAAGGCTGTGCCCTCATCCAGCAACTCTTAAAGAAATGCATGATGGTAAATTGGCAAACAGTTTCAATGAAACCCAGGACACTATTAATTTACTTAAGTTACGCACATGCTCAAGGGCTTAGTTGCATCACAACTTGTGAGGATGTTGCAGCATAAATCACTGTAAAGGCCTCTGTAATTGTAACATTATTAGTCTAATTACTGCCTATATTGTGGTGGAAAGCTGACACCGTATGCATATGTATTTGCTATCAAAGTGCAAAAGCTTGTTTTAATAGACTCCAGCTTGTTTCCACTGGTGGGCTTTGAAATTATCAGTTAGAGCCCAAACTCACAAAGCTCTATGATTTCCTTTAAAGGGCTATCAGTAAGTAACGTCAACAGATAAATAATCGTGGATGTTGACACCGAAGCAAGCAATTGCAGCTACGATCAAGAGAAGTGTCAGTAGGAAAACTAAGCGTGTAGGAGGAAGGTGAAGGCAATCAGCAGTTACAGACAGACATATGTCAGTATTTTAGAAGTTCTGGTCCTTTTGAAACATTTTTGGAAGTTCCCATTCTGATCACAGTTTTGCCACCACTTCTTACTCACTTCCCATAACGTAAGAGAATGTGATACCACCTCATGCTCAACTACTTGAGCACTAAAAACTCAAAGTAAAAAAACCAGTTAATGACAACAAGGAGTACATCAATCAGCAGTAAGTAATCTGAGGTATCCATGTGGTTGGTAAAAACTGGAGCCAACAGCTTCCCTTTTTTTAATAGGAAGGTACAGTCTGCAAGAACTACTGGCACAAGCCAACACATTACAGCAATCATCAAGTCTTGTCTTCACAATGAAGAAAAAAGCTGAGCAGAGTATAATGGTATCTGTAGCCTCACGAAGTTTCCTCTAAGAAAAATACATGTTAAGACTCCTAAAAAGATGTTAAACTATACCATACTGCAGGTTATGCTGTCTTTGGCTACCTAAGGTCTAACAGCCACTCACCAATGCTGCTCTAGCTTTAAGGAACTGACCCAGAAGTCAGCAGAAGATTTTCTTGGGAACTGAGTGCTTTACTCCAGTTTGTACTCTCAGACAACCACATCACACAAAGCATTCACAAACCAGAGAATGCTTTGGGTTGGAAGGGACCTTTAAAGGACATCAAGTCCCAGCGCCCTGCCAGTAAGCAGGGATATCTTTAACATACCACTTCCTTTGCAACACTAGATACATCTTGGACATATTTTATGCCATTATTCACAGGGTGTTACTACCACTTCTCTAAGAGTCAAAAAATATTTTCCAATTTCCAACTTCTGGCCATTTCAACTGATTTGTTGTCATGCCTTGTTAAAACAGTCTTCTTCCTGCTGCTCACTTATTTTACATGCTCATAGAGGACAAGTGTACTCCTTCAATCAGTTTCAAAAGCTGGATTCTTTCAGCCTCCATCATAAATCAGGTCCTGTATTTCCTCCATCATTCTGGTAGTTCTATTATTTGCAGTTTTAACTTCCTCTGTTTTCAAAAAAAAACTTCCACAAAAACAGAAGGCTGGGTGTTAAAATCCAAGATCAGAACTTCTTCTGAAAGTATTTCCAGTTTATAAACCAAAGGGAATCCTTAAATAAAGAGAAGAAAAATAAAATCTTACCGCCTGGTTCCAGTTGACAGCAATTCTATTTGAATAACCGAAGAGGAACACACACAGGAACACAATGGACAGGAACCACGCCGTCACCGCTACAAACAGTACCCAGCCCTGCAGCAGTGGCAGTGGAACTCGGGTACAAGCTACCAAAATCCAGACTATCGTTCCAAAGAGCTGAAAGGAAAGCAATACAGACAATTAACTGAGAGGTAACTTCTATTCAGCCCCTTCTGTCTAAGAACTAATATTACACACCAACGCATCTTCAGATTTCTCTCTCAAGAGGGAATACTTCAGAAGTACTCAGAGAGCCGAAGTGGTGTTCTCAGAAATTACAGGTATTAAGCAGCAGTAAGACAAAACCATGCTGAAATTCTTAAAAGCTCTTAAAATAGTCTTGAAAAGAGGATTTACAAACCCAGGCGACTTGTGCATTGCTGCTGAGAATTTTACCCTTATTCTCATTTTGAGGGAAATACAAGAAAAGTGAAAACATAGCTCACACACACATACGCAAATCTCTCTCTCTTTTTCTCTCTGTATTAAAGTTAGTATGACAGGGATGTTCTTGCAACTTCGACTGTTTGTTGTTTAGTCCTAATAAGGTAAGATGCAGAAAACAGATGAAACTGCATCCTCTTTTTCAACGCATTTGTAATAAAAAGCTGAAAGGGAACTCATTGAGCAATAAAGTGAAAGAAAATGCTAGAATACAGAACAAGGCAAGTCATAAACCATGTTGTAATGACTACGAAAACACACAGGGCAGAATTTAGAATCATTATTTTTCTTTTCAGCACACTGATTACAGCAAACGAGGAGTGGGGATGCTGTGCTATGATGGGCTGATGGATAATTTATGTACTCTAAGGCTTGCCTGGTTTAATTAACTCTTGGCCTAAGGAAGGATAGTATTTATTCCTGCAAAACTTAGCTCTTCATAAAAAAAGGGTAACTGGAGAAAAATCACAATTGTCATCTGAATTATGTTCACATATTACAGAAAGATTCAATTTCATAATCCAACCTGCAATGTAGAGACAGCTACAATCAATTTCCAAGCAAGCTGTTACTTCCCTGTCTAAATCCTAAAACTGCAAAGTCAGATTACACAGATTACAGATTCAGAGAACTTCCTTTTGAATCAAGGTTGGATGAGAGATATCTTTCCAAAGACACCTACTATAAAATTACCGGTTGCTCTCTTGTGTTACATTGCAGTAGCATACAGGTAAAGATTCATTGCCAGTCTCAGTTCAAAACTCCCAAGGGTTTATGTATTAGCCTTCAAGTTGTTATCTAGGGTTCCTTTTTTAGCTGCTGTGAAGAACCAAACTCTCTGTAGTTTCACCAGACTGCAGGTGCAAGCCTGGTACTCAGAGACCTGACAGCGACAGGCAGCGAGGAGGCAGAAGGGATAGCAGAAAGCTTGTTAAATAAAAAGCAGAGACACATGAAATGTTTTCAGTATTTTGAATGTACAGCTTCGCAGACTTCTTTAAAAATTAATTTAGAAAACTATTGCACAGACTGCTAATGTCAGCCCTCACTGCTGTGCCATCTCCCTCAGAACACATCTGCCCAGTACAGCCACACGATGTCTAACAAATAGGTTGGCCAACCTAATTAACCTTTTGTCCCTACAGTCTTGGGGCCTGATTTTGTGCCGGAGCTTGTGCTCTGAGCTCCTTGCTGGGGTGCAGTTTTACAGCTTGCAGGGTGACATCCACCGCACAGACTGGGACCCAAGAAGTACCCTCCTCCGAAAGGCAAAAAAAAAAAAAAAAGAGAGAGAAACCAGACGAGCTCTACCAAGCTTGTTTTGGTTTTTCTCCTACTAATTAGTACCACGGCTCTGCCAACCCTCACACTCAGCCTGAGCTCGGAGCTCCTCCGCCCGTCGCGCAAGGTCTCTCACAGACACGCGAAACGGGAGATACTCGCAGGAGTTCGCAGGGAGCCCGAAACACACACATGCAGGCAAAAAAGAGGGACCTCTGCACGGTGGGTTTTCGGTCTGGGACTCTCCGCAGCCAGAGGTCCTCGACAGCTTGAGCACTCC